ACTGCAAATCAATGCAACCACTCTGGAAAGCAGTATGGAAATTCCTCAAAAAATTAGGAATGGAATCACCATCTGACCCAGCTATCCCAGTCCTTGGTATACGTCCAAAAGATTTAAAATTAGCATACTATAGGGATATAGCCACATCAAGATGTATAACAGCACATTTCACAATAGCCAAGTCCTGGAACCATTATAGGTGCCCATCAATAGATAAATAGATAAAGAAAATACTGTAGATATACACAATGGAGTATTACTCAGCAATAAAGAAGAATGAAATTAGGGCTTTTGCTGGTAAATGGAAGGAACTGCAGACCATCATGCTAAGTGAAATAAGCCAGACCCAGGAAGTCAAAGATTGAATATATTTTCTGATATGAAGAAGCTAGACCAAAATAAGGGGAGAAGAAGAGAAAGAAAAAAGAAAAAGAAAAGGGATGAAGGGAAATTCCATGAAAATAGAAAGGAGATCAGTAGAGTAGGAAAAGGGGATGACAGGGAAGGATGAGGGACAGGAAAAGGGAAGATCTGTGTAATGCATAAGACCTAAGTTTCCTATGGACATATATGAATCCACCACAGTAGATTTCACCCTCATGTATATTCACAAGGCATTAATTAAAAAAAAAAAACCTATAAGTGAGAAATCAGCACAGCAGACGTCAGGGAACAGAGAGAGGGAGGAGGAAGGAAAGGAGAAGTACTGGAGACTGAGCTAGAGCAAATTATATTCCCTGCTTGTCTAATTATGTCAAAATGAACCCCAACGGTATGTATAACTAAAATAATTATTTTCACATATAAAATGTATACCTAAGTATTATGGGGTGCTTCCAGTTTTCTAAGACATTATATTCCTACTTAAATATTTACATCACATTGTTCAATTAAAAGTGTGAATGAATATATGCCAAAACATGATTAGCATCGAACTAGAGATGGTATTATAATGGGCATTTTTCTTTTTATTTATGATTATAGACAATTGAAATTTTCTTCTCTGCATAAACTTTTAGAATAATTTTGTACAGGAATATATTCTTTTTTGTCAAAATGAAATAAACCTACCAAAATGTGTTTGGCTACTGTGCAGCTGCAGATTACACAACTACTTTGTAAAAAGAAATTTGCTGGGGCTGGGGATGTGGCTCAAGCGGTAGCGCACTCGCCTGGCATGCGTGCGGCCCGGGTTCGATCCTCAGCACCACATACCAACAAAGATGTTGTGTCCGCCGAGAACTGAAAAATAATATTAAAAAATTCTCTCTCCTCTTTCACTCTCTCTTTAAAAAAAAAAAAAAAAAATTTGCTGACCCAACGCAGAATTGACTAATGGGGAGTTCACAGTAGCTCCTCTGTTTCACATCCTTGCTGCCTGGGTCACATGGAATAAGCTACGTGTGAAAATTCAGAAATAAAGTCATTTGCTTTTATTCTTTAGTGCTATCACCCCTATTTTGATGCTGAGAGCTGGGGAACAGATAGGGAAGACTGCAAGACAGACCACTACAAATGATCATTTCATGGTTCTTCCAGCCCCAGTAAAGTATAGGGAAATCTCAGTCTGTTGTGCAGGACAAAGGAAAGTCTGAGGTCCTAGGATGACAGGTAAACCTCAACTAAAACTGAAAAGCAAAACAAAGTACAAATCCATACACAATTTGATATGTGATCTATGATGACTGTTTCCTGCAATGTAACAGGCACACTGGTTATCCAAAGATCACGCTCATCATTAGTACATTAGGCAAAGGAAAAACAAATTTTCCAAAAGATTTTTTTTTTGCATCTCCAAAAGTAAATAAAACCTGAGGCAATGAGATCTATAGAACAAAGTCTCCAGCTTCAAATGGGAAACAATCCAAATTTGCCTCTGTAGAAAACAAAACAAAAACTAATACCATTATACTATAAGTAACCTATATTCATTCATTCTTCATCTGTTTATTCTTTTATTTAGCTACAATAAACACTTTTTATGTGCAAAACACTGCAGCAAGCAATAGCTGGAAATTGCAATCATCTCTGATCTAATGCAAACATGTTATGCTCCTGATCTGATTGAAATTCTGCCCCTAATAATTTATTCTGCTAGAAATAAACTGGGGGAAGAGAAAAAAAAAGCAGAGTTCCTGACATCATGAAAAGTATAGGTTTGTTCTATTTGAATTTTCAAGCACTGATTGTATCCTATACTGATTGTCAATTAGGATAGAAATAATGAATCTTAAAGTTGCATAATAAAGCAGGGACAGTAATGCAATACATCGAGGTATTTAAAACACAGATCAATCAGGAAAACTTTGGTGAGTCCATTGCTATTCTTTGTGTTCCAATAACATATAATCAGTAATACATGAAAATTTGAACAACATAACTCTCAAAGTAAAATAAAATAGGAATTATATACTCAAACATAAAACTAACAATACTGACCATAACCAGGATAGAAAAGACACCAAATCTGAATTGAGCTTCCCAATTATTCTTTCAGCCAAGCTAAGTAGGTTAGATCAGAGTGATGAGCAGATCAGATCAATAAATCAAAAATTTACAGCACTGCATTACAGTTTCTCTCCTAAAGCCAAGGACATATCAAAATTATATGTATTTCATATGTCAGGCTCCTAGCAGAGCTAATATCTTTATAGTTCTTATACTTTAATAGAATTTAGAATTGTAAAACTATCTACAAGATTATTTAGAGAGACAGAAATTTGGATTTGGAGACTGAGTCTTTTTTTCACCATCAGGAAACTGTTAGGTTTCTACGTTGGGTTTTTAGTCTATGGCAGCATTTCTCAAACTAAGGTTTATAAATCAGTTTTAAAGCTTTTCAAGCCCTGCGCAGTAGCACAATGCCTGTAATCCCAGCATCTCGGCACGCTGAGACAGGAGGGTCATGAGTTCAAAGCCAGCTTCAGCAATGCCAAGGCGCTAAGCAACTCAGTGAGACCCTGTCTCTAAATAAGATACAAAAAAGGGCTGAGGATGTGGCTCAGTGGTCGAGTGCCCCTGAGTTCAATCCCCGGTACCAAAAAAAAAAAAAAAAAAAAAAAAAAAGCTCTTCAAATTCTTAATGATATTTTTTAAAATTACTTTGGTTTTAATTTTTGTGATAATATAAAAACTTTAATGCCAGTTTACATCTTTGGATGGACCCCATGATATTTTTGTGCAGAAGTTTGTATATACCATTGAGTTTATGTCAACTGACATCATGAAAAGGTGTATGATTTAAAAGCCCCAAAGTCCAAATAAGCAGAAAGTGGAAGAACCAGTGTCAACTTTGTCTACCTGAGTTCTACAATGTATTGGAAATAAGCAAAAAAGCACACAAAAAAAGAATTTTCTATTCCTGATCCTAGCAGCAACTGTGTTTGTTTAATGACACCTGTTTAACAAAGCTGTTGATTAGACTGGCTTTCCCTTCAAGTGGTGATGCTTTAGAGAGTTACGGTGGAATACCTCTTTAATGTGCTATTCCGGGAGTACTCCAGTGGAATTTGGTTAAAGATGAGGCCTAATTAACCTAACTTCCAATCCGAGACTTAAAGGTATTAATATTGTCTTGAATAACATGCGAGTGGGCATTTGTTGGATAAATATTATCAGAACTCAAAAACAGAAACAGATGATCCAAAGAACAAGACTTAGAATGGACATCTTTCTACTATAACCCCTGCAAATCAACAACTCTTTTAGCCAAGTACCCATGCTAGTAAATCAATGTGGATTGAGCTGAGTTACAGTGCTGTTCATTTGAATTGTGATGGCTTTGTAGTTTTATTTATATTTAATTTGAAAATTTGCTTTAGTTTTATGTTGTTTAGATTAACATATCTAATCATAAAATTATATGTAGTTCGATGTTTGTGCATATGAAGTAACATAATAAGCAGTGTAAGTAAATTAAAATAAAAATAACTTCAGTCAACACTAGAATTCCATAGGAATTTTATTTTTCTTCAAGAGCATGTGATACATTCCCTAACTCAGGAAGCCCTGCTATGTTGCCTGCATTAGTTTTATCAAGGATTTAAGAGAAATGGAGCACAGAACCATGGTTCTCTGTTAGCTTAAACTTTATTTCTTGATTTCACAGTAAGTTTCTCTGTGTCCTTGCTTTACTCGCCAGATTCACAGACCAAAGTAGCAGATACAGGGTGGAGATGGCCAGAGTGGAAGGACACCATCAGGAAAAAGGATCCTTTTTGAAGCATTATACTCAAATGTACTTGCTTTCATTTTTGTCTCAAACTAAACTGTTTCTGAAGAGACAGAATGGCGTCAATGCCTGTCACCACTGGGAGGCTTAATATAAATGTTTGTCAAACGAAGGAATGAACCTTGCCAGGTCATTTTCTCAACTCATGTTATTCTAGTTCAGTTCAAAGAAAAGGCATTGGAACAATATCTTAATATTATTTTAACTGTATAAAAATACTGTATAAGAAATGTATACAATCTATTGTAAGAATCTATAAGGCTAAACCTTTAGAGGAAACTCTGAATGATAACAAATAGTTCTAGGATGGTATGAATAGTATATTCAAATTTTCTAGGGAAAATAAAATGAGGAATTTTTTGTTCCCTTTCCATAAAAATCATTAACTATAAAACAATGGATATACCAACCCAAAACAAGAGTCAAAGGGCCGATATGAAATTGAAATAAGCACCACATTGAAAAAAAGCAGTGTTACTTTGCTTAAAATACTTAAATATTAAAAAATGCATGGCAAATGTTTTTTTAAAATCTAATAGTTCAAAAAAATGAAAACATTCCGTACTTCCTCCCCCTCCCAATATCATATTTTAAGAAAACACTTTTTTTTTCAGTTTCTGGGTGGTACTAACCTAAAAGCCAGCAAACATTCCAAGCTTCATTCTTAAGAACTGATGAAATACATCTGCAAAAATAAACAGTTTGAAATGAGAATGCCAAAAAAAAAAAAAAAAAAGGTAAGGGCAAAAAAGCATTTTTATCATTTCTCATTACTTTTCTTTAATAAAAGAGAAACAGTAAAATTAAAAATATATATATATATATGAGGAATTACCCCAGTGAACAAAACTGCACATAGACACACACACAATTCCAGAATAGGGTGTGAGGACATAATTTGACAAATGACTAATCCCATGAAATTTGATTTGAGACATAGAATATTGCTCAATATTACATGTAAATAAGAATTTTCCTTCTTACTTTTCTCTGTAACTGGGATCTATGCTGAGCCCTGAAAAAAAAAAAAAAAAATTCTCCTTTCTTCCAAAGTCTAAACACAATTTCTTATCAGCAGGCTGTCTAATGAGTTAAGTCAATCACTAAGCCACTATTTCAATGTGTGCTCCTGCAGCAAAGAGTCATTGGAATTAAGAAAATCATTTCTGTTGTATCCTGCTATTCTGAACAAAAACTAATTTCCTGCCCAACCATGGGGGTCACATGATGCCATGTTAATGGAAAGTCATGGAGAGATCAAACTCCTGACGATGAAAAGAAACACACATAATAAACTTCCATTTACCATTTGAAGGAAGTTTGCTTCAGCATACTATAATAACCCTAGAAAAGAAATATATAGCTGAAGTCGTAAAGTGAAAAAAAAGAAATGCATGATAATATGTTATTAACATCAGGATCAGAACTGAACAAACCAGAGAGAAAAAGAAAGAGAAAGGGAAAGAGGAAACCCCATTAGGATTATAGAAAGAAAAACAACTAAAAAGATTAATTGAACTGTAGGAGAACCAAGTTTTTGAGACAAAAGAAAAAACAATTAACGGGTGAGTAACTAGAAGATTCCCAACTGGATTGTGTGGGTCAGAGGAAAAGCAAGCTTAACATTTCCTTGAGCTGGAGGCATGCACAAACCACATGAGGACCATAACCAGAGATACCCTTTACGGATCTGTGTGAGGTCCTGGAACATTCTGTGTTGTAACAATTTTAAGATTGCAGAAACTACACACAAGAGCCAGCTGATTAGTCTCTCTTGTCTGCATTTCAGCCACTATTCTAAGTATGCATTTGAAATTGCCCAATATTGAACCTGAAAGCTAAGTTTCAAAGAACAAACTAGAACAATACCATTAGCAAAAATCAATTAAAAATGTTATGAAAAAAATCCAACCCATAAGAATTATGGTTCATGGTTTATATTCCATTCACTCAACTTTGGAGTACTAAGATATAACTTGGCATCTTTATTACTGAAGAGTTGTAGAAATCACTGAGTTCAAGTTAACCAAAACCTAGCTACCATTAGCTTTCATTTGATTCATGACTACACTGACAAAATATATGCAAGTAATGATAAATTTTATATGTCAATTTGGTTAGATTTGACATTCAACTGTTTGGTCTTACTGTAGTCTAGATATTTCTATAAAGGCATTTTTTAGATGTGATTAACATTTATAATCAGTTGGTATGAAGAAAAGTAAATAGTAAGGAATCAGCCAATCAATCGAAGACCATAGGGGCAAAGACTGAAGCTTTTGAGAGAAGAAGGAATTCTGCCTCTGGATGGCAACACAGAAATTTCACCTGAGTTTTCTGCCTTTAGACTCAAGAAAGTAACATAAAATTTTATCTGACATTCTAGTTTGCCAACCTGCTCTTTGACTTTCAATTTGCCAATCCCCACAATCACACAAACAATTAAAATCTCTCTTCATACACACATGTAATGAGTGAGTATGCATAAAATATGTATGTATACACACTCATACACATGCATACACACACATACTACTATTGGTTCTGCTTCCCTGGAGAATCCTGATTAAGAATGATATTGACCAAATTATATTTGTTAAGTTGTGTGCATGTACAAATATGTAATAATAAAACCCACTATCATATATAATTATAATGTGCCAATAAAAATGGAAAAAAATTAAAATTTTAAAAATTTTTTAAAAGAGAACTGATTAATACAATGTCTAAGATCACAACAAAAATTAAACTTATTGCATTTATCCTAACACTGTAAAAATTTTATAACTTCAGAAAAAAAAATGGCTGCTGTCAAATTTTACCAATTTTCAAACCACTTAAAGAACCTATGTGAAACAATATGGATAGAACCTATGTATGTTCCCTATATGATTTATAGGTTTCATTACATATATTAAGAGTTTAAAACAGATTGCACCCCCTACAGGGGAACATTCAGTCTGCATTTTTAAATTATTGGAGCAAGTGAATTTTATTTGTGCTACAATAACTGAAACCACCACAAAGAGGATTAGATGGAACTAAAATGAAATTGATTGACACACGGGCTCCAGGGAAACAAAAAGAGACACCAATGCCATGTAGAGTTTATAAAATGGTAATAGTCCCTGGGTATAAATAAAGACTATCACTTGTGAAAACTGAATCTTAAAGTCTGTCAAAGCATGGAGGACAAATTATTTGTTTCCTTTTTTTGGGGGGAGGGTGGAGAGGTACTGGAGATTGAACTCAGTGGTCAACCACTAAGCCACATACCCAGCCCTTTTTTTAATTTTATTTTATTAAGAGGCAGGGTCTCACTGAGTTGCTTAGGGCTTCACTAAGTTACTGAGGCTGACTTTGAGCTTGTGATCCTCCTGCCTCAGTCTCCCAAGCTGCTAGGATTACAGGCATGCACTACAGTGACCAGCTTGTTTTCAAAGTGCCTTTTGAAATTCATTAGATTTGAATTGAGTGTAATAGAAATATCATTTGCTACACGGGTTTCCATCCTCATATCAAATCAAGTAGACTTTAAGCTAAAGTCAATCAAAAGGGATAAAGAAGGACACTACATACTACTCAAGGGAACCATATACCAACAAGACTTAAGAATTATAAATATGCCTCAAACAATGGAGCATCTATGTTCATCAAACAACTCAGGTTCAAAAGTCAAATAGATCACAACAGAGTAATTTTGGGTGACTTTAACATACCTCTTTCATCACTAGATGGATCTTCCAAACAAAAGCTGAACAAAGAATCTATAGAACTCAATAATAAAATCAATAACTTAGACTTAACTGACATATGTAGAATATTTCATCCTTCAACTAGAGAATAAACCTTTCTTCTCAGCAGCACATGGATTCTTCCCTAAATTAGATCATATATTATACCACAAAGTAACTCTTAGCAAATATAAAAAAGTAGAGATACTACCCTGGATTCCATCAGAACATAATGGAATGAAATTAGAAATCAATGATAAAATAAGAAATAAAAGCTACTCCATCACCTGGAAACTAAATAATATGCTACTGAATGAACAATGGGTTGCAGAAGACATCAAAGAGAAGATTTAAAAAATTTTAGAGGTGAATGAAAACACAGATACAACACATTGAAATCTCTGGGACACTATGAAGGCAGTTCTAAGAGGAAAGTTCATTGCATGGAATTCATTCCTTAAAAGAAGAAAAAGTCAACAAATAAATGACTTAACATTACCTCTCAAAGCCCTAGAAAAAAG